CTTTCGTTTTCTTTTTCTTTTTTTCTTGTTTTTCATTATTTTTATTTTTTATTATTTTTTGGAATAATAAGAAAATGGTGTTTACACTATGAATGAGAGTTTTGGATTTGTATATGTCTTGGAAGAGAGATTTGCATATTATATATACAAAATCATGAAAAAGAAATATGCGTCAAAACACCAATCATGAAATTCAAATTTTTAACTGGTTGTGTCTAAACACATACTCATTTTTATATACTCGAGTTTGAAATCTTACACTTTTACTGTGACGTACGGAGATAAGTTAGAGCACCAAAGATACTTCTACGTTGCTATGCCTTTTACTCTACACTACACCTTCTTCTCTATTCCATTTTCTGTGTATTCTGTACTCATTCCCCGTTTTCAAAACTTTTCAGTGTGTGTCTTTTCTCTCCTTGTATCCTGCTCTATATGTTGTGATCTTTCCTCTATTTTTCTTTTAAAAAAAATTTGGTGTGTTTATCTTTTTGTTATCTGTTGAGATCTCCCCTTCTTTTACTTCTCAGATTTTATTTTTATGCTTAGAAGTGTATTCTCAAATGCTCCAAAGTGTCTCCCTTTTTCTTTGTATCTTTGCTCTCCTTATAACCCAATGTCTGATGTGCTTGTGAGCATGAGTTGGAATGTTGCAGTGCATGCAGGATGTAGTGGTACTATTTTCTTTTTAGTTTGTACTGTAACTTTGACTCACTATTTTAGTGCTAAACTCTGATTACCAAACCTCTGTACAAAAAGACATGTCCTTATTGTCTTTTCTTTCCCCTTTGCACTGCTCTCTGCACATTTCGTTATTCTTACACGTCCTTCCCTTTTTTATTTTTTAATTGAATAACAACAAGACTTGCTACACAAAACCGGTGTTCACGTTGTAACTTTGCTCATGTTTTATTTATGGGATATATTTATCTCATTTTACAACAAATAAATAATTTTGCTACACATACAACACGAATGAGTTCCACCACTTTTTTCTCTCTATTCTTATATGTGGGTCCATTTGTAATTTTATTTCTACAACGTTAATAACTACTTTCTTACAACGTAAAAAAAAAATTTCCCTTTACTTATTTAAGTATGTGATTGTTTTAGGGCGTGTGAAGGTAATTTTAGAAAAGTAGATTTGAAGTATCATATTTCTCATATTTAAAATAAGTTTTAAATAAATAAATTTAGATATTATAAATTCTCCAAAAGAATCAATGTTTTTTCTTCTTCTCCTTTTTAATTCATATGATAAGGATGAGTATATTACCTTTATTGAAAATTTAATCTTAGAAACTACTCAGCAACTAACTTCCAGTACTTTCGCTTCATTCTACCTCAATTTTTTTATTTAATTTTTTTATCTTTTGAGTTTTTCATTTTTTTCCTTAAATAAATTTTGAAAAATAATAAATGCCCAAATATATTTGTAAATTTATTTAAAATTAACATTTCTAGGCATAATATTAATGGGAGCGTTATATTTACAAACTTTTTGTTTACAAACTCTTGCAAACTACACTATGTACTCCCGGAAGTATATTAGATTACGCTATATATTTCCAGGAGTCATAATATAATTTGTAAAAAATTTAAAAAAAAAATTATAAACGAATCATTTCCCAATATTAATAACTAAAATCAGATAAAAGCCCCCTAAAGATTATTAACTACAGTAAAAGGTTAAGTTTATCCTATTGTCTTAGAGGAATGATACATCTTCATATATAGGAGTTAAGTACCAAGTCCCATTTTATCAAAAAAAGAAGAAAAAAAGTACCAAGTCCCAATAGCTCCAATTGGATTGTCTAACGGTGGCCTCTGAAAATATGAACATCAAGAACGGCATCCTCTCTGTTAATGAGCTCAAAGACACAAACATCTCCACCTAACAATTTATTTTCTCGTGCAAATAGGAACCAACCACAAGAAAACGTTGCTGAATTGTGTGGATAACGGAGCAGCTTTACAGAGCACTATTACTTTCCAATCTGAAACTTACAATATGGGGAAGGCAAGTGATACATGCTTCACATCAATTTATATTTTCATCATCATGAGATCACATCTTAACAGTTAACAAAAGTATAACAATAACTTAGGTCCTGCTGCTTTTGGTATGCAAATCGCGAAGTTTAAGCTAATGTGAATGAATTATATATTATATCATGCATCTAGATCATTTTATGCCCGTATAAGTTACACTCTCAATTTTGGTCGTTAATAATATTTATATTTAACTGCTTTGATTTATTAATCATGTGACTTGCTAGATGCAAATAAATCAACGACTAAGAATTAGTATAAGACTTCATATTCTTACACCAGTGTAAGAATAACATGTTCTTTATATTACATTTCTACTACGTTCACCTACAGTTGATCGATTATTTTAATCGTGTTTTAAGTTTTTTTTTTTTTTTGTCATTTTTTTCATCTTCCCAAATTATATACCAATGACTAAGTTATTACCATATAAATTATACTCTCAATCTTGGTCGTTGATAATATTTGTATGTAACGACACTGATTTATTATATATGTGAATTAGTAGATGCAAACAAATCAATTACTAAGATTTGGTATGAGACTTCTTATTCTTCCATAAGAATAATATGTCCCTTATATTATATTTCAAATATGTTTCATCCACGACTTATCGATTATCTTAATCATGTTTTAAACTTTTTTTTATCATTTTATTCATCTTTTCAAATTATATACCAATTTCCTTCTTCTCCAAATATATACCAAATTGTTGCTAGTTGACTGAAGTTAACCGATATTTACTCGATTAAATGAGTTAATTACTCGAATAAATGATTTACCTAAGACTATAATTTGATTAAATAAGGGTAAAGTAATATATAGTTTGAGAATATGGACATAATTGTATATAATTTGGGAAAAGGGACAACATGATAAATTAATTTAAAAAGAATGGCAAAATGATTGCTTTTAATATTAAATATGGTTCAAATAATAATTAAAATAATTTAAAAAAATAGTTTTAAATAATAAAATAGTAAAAGAGAGTAAATTGCCAACAAATAGATAAGATTTTAATAATTGTTGTTGTTTCAGGTTGTTTTAGACTAGAATAACAAATCACCAACCTGATAAGGATGAGGAAACAGTTGTATCAAGAAAATGTGAAATTAAATAAATATAAAAAAAAAATGGGTAACACTAGCTCCTCTTCTCGCTAAAGCGAGCAAGTGAGCGAGCAAAACAATACAGCTCGCTACACTCCTCGCATGGGCGAGTGAGTAAGCGAATAAGAAGGAAATGCTCGCTGAGCAGTTCGCTTTAGCGAGCTCCTCAGCGAGCGGGTCCAGACTCAGAAGCCCACGATTTCTCTTTAAATATAACGCAAGCAAAGCCGTTAAGATCATTCTGGAACGCAGAGAAAAAAAGGAACTCAGAGACAAAAGCCGTGGCGGAAGAGGAACACTGACAGAGGGGAAGGAACCAGAATCATTCTGCATCATTGATAGTCTTCATTACTCAAGTTTCATCATGAACTTTATTTATATTCCATTATCTTTTAATTCTGTTTTTATAATTACGCATAGCTAAATTCCTGTTAGTAGTTAGGGCGAGACGGAACCAATGGGTTCTTGAACACTGTTTGCTTTTATTATGATTTATTTTCTTGATTTAAGTTATGCAATCAATCTGTAATTTATTCCTAGTCTTATTTCTGATCTGGCCAGTCTTGAATGAGCATTAGAGTCGTGCATGGCAATATGGATGTTGGTGTATCGATTGCGATTGGTTGATTGCTGGAATTTGTATGATCTATGGATAGACTTATAAATTCTATAACCGTGGGTAGTTCTTGCGTTAATGCTTATTTTATGAAAAAGTACTAAGGGATTATGTTTTAAATTATAATAAAGGATTCGATTACCAAGTGATTGAGATTTAATCAATCATAGAAAGAGCTGTTAATAACTTGATCCTCAATATAATCATAAGAATAAGCAGATTCGTTAGGAAACCATTGGGAAAGTCGAGTCCTAGCTATGTCATTTTATTAAAAACTTAAATCAATTTCTAGCTTTATTAATTCTAAATTTAATTTCTTAAATATTGAAAACTAAAAATAAGTAGTTTAAAATTCTGTTTTAATTAAATTAAAATATTCTCAAACCAACAATTTACGATCCATCCAACTTTAGTTAAATAGATAAATTAGTGCTTGGTCATCAGTCCTCGTGGGATCGACAACTTTTCTTATCACTTTATTACTTGTACGACCGATGCAATTGCCGAGTTTGCAACAAATTTTTGGCGTCGTTGTCGGGCACTGATTTAATCAACATTGATCATATCTATAAAATTATAGATTGGATCATTTTTTTTATTAGTTTCCTTTTAGTTTATTACTTTTTATATTATTTTAAATATTTTTACTAGTTAGTTTTATTACTTTAGTTTGTTTTTGTTTTTTTTTTTTTTTCTTTATTTTTCTTATTTTGTTTCATTGTCATTTTTATTATTATTTTAGTTTTTAGTTTATTTATTTTATTTTTAATTTTTTATTTATTTTTTATTTTAAATATTAAATTATATTTTGTTTTATTTTATATTTTTATTATATTAGTTTAGTTTATTTATTTTATTTTTATTTTTGTTTATTTTATTTTTGTTTTGTTTATTCTCTTTTATTTTATTTTATTGTCATTCTATTTCTTTGTTAGTTTAATATTTGTATCGTTATTTATTTAGTTTTGTTATTTTATTTTGTTTACTAGTTTAATTTGTTTACTTTAAATTTTAAATTTTAAATTTTCTGTTAGTTAGTGGTTTTCGTTAGTTGGTCCCACTGAGCCTTAGTTTTCTAGTTTATGCATCTGCGAGGCACTGTTAATCCCAGTGGCCTACAATACGAACCAGAGTTAGAGCGTCTAGAAAGAACCAATAGGAAACATTTGAGCGCGTAGAAGACACAAGACGTATTGAGCTCCAATTCTGCGGAAGGACCAGCCATGGCCGAGGATAACCAAAATTCACCCGAAGAACTGATGAGCCACTTCCTAAACCCTAATTTCTCGCATCCGACTACGAGTATTAGAAGGCCTCAAATCCCAGCGAACAACTTCGAAATAAAATCCTCCTTCCTAAATTTAATTCAAAGTAATCTATTTGAAGGAGACCCGATCGAAGACCCAAACGGTCATATTTCTAAATTCTTACAGTTGTGTAACCTCATTAAAGCTAATGGGGTACCTGCTGAATCAATCCGACAGATGTTTTTTCCTTTCTCCTTAAAAGTAAGAGAACTTAATTGGTTGGAATTGCAACATGCTGATAGCATCTCCACGTGGGAAGAATTAGTTGAAAAATTTCAAAAGAAGTTTTTCCCACTATCCCAATTCTTCGAGCTGAAAGAACAGATTAACAATTTCAAGCAGCTCGAAGGCGAATCCCTGTGCGTGGGATGGGGAAGATTTAAAGAACTAATCATGAGATGTTCGCAATACATTTTATCGAATGGCGAGAAGGTCCGAATCTTTTACAAAGGAGTTACGTCAACATATAAATTACTCCTTAATGCCGCAGCTGGAGGTAGTATTGGAGAAATTACTCCAACTAAAGCTATTGAGTTAATTAAAAAGATGGCATCTGAAGATAATGAGGTCACACCAATGCAACCTAAGAAAGGAGTTATGCAGTTAGAAGGGTACGACGCTTTGTTAGCCAAACAAGACAAGATGGATCAAAGGCTGGATTCACTTGTTAAACTCTTTACCCAAAATCAAATCTCTGCGGTTAACTCTCAATTCCATGTGGTATGCGACACTTGTGGCGGACCTTATAATGCCGATAAATGTGAGGCTATGGTTACTATAAACCCAGCTCAGGTGAATTCTCTTTGGTACGACCAACGTAGGGAGAACAATCCTTACAGAAACACTTATAATCTTGGCTGGAGAAACCATTCTGAACTTTCATATAATCAAGGAGGACCACAACAAGCTAATCTGGGAATTCAACCAGAGCAATCTAGTCAAAAGGCAGCTTGGGAAATTGCATTCGAAAAGATGTCTCAAGCTCAAACAAGTTTTGTGGAAGAAACCCGAGTATCTCTCAAAAATCAAGAATCATATATTAAAAATCTGGAAATTCAGATTGGTCAGCTTGCCAAACAGATGGCTGAGAGGCCTCCAGGAACCTTTCCTAGTAATACAATTACTAATCCCAAGCAACAATGCAATGCCATCACTACAAGGAGTGGAATAGTAATTCAACCTGTGGAGAAACCAATAGCTACACCAAGTAATGAAAAAGATGCAGAGAAGGAAAATCCTGCTAAAGAGAAAGCTGACGATCCTGTCGATAGAGATGTCACAATTTTTGGAGGACCATTAAATGATACCCCATGTAAGAAAGTAATAAAGAAGCTTTCTTTAGAGGAAATGACGAAATCACTTGGAGACAATCCTTATGTTAAGGCTCTTTATCCTCAGAGATTATAGCAGCACGAGCAGAAGAAAAATTTCTCTAAATTCTGAGAGATTTTTAAGAAGCTGCACATCAATATCCCCTTTGCGGAAGCTTTAGAGCAAATGCCATCATATGCAAAGTTTCTAAAAGAGATCCTAACCAAGAAGCGAAAGCTCACAGTAGAAGGATCCACTATCTTGAAAAAGGAGTGTAGTGCAATCACGCAGAAGAATTTACCTCCGAAATTAAAGTATCTGGGGAGTTTTAGTATCCCTTGCACGATTGGCTCGTTGACAATAGAGAGAGTTTTATGTGATCTAGGTGCTAGCATTAACGTAATGCCATTATCTATGATGAAGAAGCTGGGAATCATAGAAGTGAAGCCGATCAATATGATTCTGCAACTAGCTGACCGCTCCACCAAGCAAGCATATGGAGTAATAGATGACATACTTGTTAAGGTGGACAAGTTCATCTTTCCGGTGGACTTTGTTATCTTGGATATAAAGGAGGACGCTATTGTTCCCGTGATCTTTGGGAGACCTTTCTTAGCAACCTCCGGAGCGGTAATTGATGTGCCTAAAGGTGAATCGATCTTAAGGGTGGAAGGAGAAAAGGCTATTCTCAAAATGTTTGAAAAAGAAACTCCACCACCTACAACTCAGCCAGAGAAAATTTTCTTTATTGAGGAAAAGAAAGCTGAAGAGGAAGAAAAGAAAGATCATAAGCCATATGAGAGTTGCAAGCCGGAGGTGAAGATGGCAAAGCCTAAGAGCAAGGGAAAGCACATCAAGACTAAGTTTAGAGTTCTTGAGGCCAAACCTTCTCGCCCATATGCACAAGAGTACTATTACGGCAAAGCAATATTTATGATAAAAAGAATGGCATCATCTTTGAATTCCGGCTACAAGCCGCCATGACTAATGAAGATGTAACGTCAAGCTAATGACGTTAAACAAGCGCTCTTAGGAGGTAACCTAAGAATTTATCGTTTTTAAGTTAATTATTTTAGTTTATTTTATGATGCCAGCAGATTTTATTTTCTTTTTAGGACCATTTTAGTTTTATTTTTCTTTTGTTTATCTGTTTTGATTAGTGATGACTCTGGTGATGTACAGATTTTATTTTTCTCACTCTGTTGTGAGCATGATTGCTACTATTGACTTTATCTGATGTGTGCAGTTCTTTCTTTTTGATTTATTAATTGCTGAGGACAGAAAATTCCTAAATCTGGGAATGGGGACGCACCGCACTGCTATATATAGCAGCAGTAGTAGCAGTTGGTACAACTATGATCCCTGTGATGAGTAGAACAACAAAATTTTCAGAAAAACAGGGAAAATTCTTCTCCTCAGTCCTCTTTATTTTATTTTTATTGTGTTTCTTTTCTTTCTTTGAATTATGAAATCATGCTAAGTTAGAATTAGTGAGTAAAAATTAATTTATCATGTGATGACTTAGAATATTTTTTTTATGAATAAACATTGATTGAGTTAGTCTAAGAGTCAGTAAGAACAATGAAATTACAGTATGAGTGAATAAAAATTAATGAGTGAGTAAAAATTAATTTATCATGTGATGACTTAGAATATTTTTTTTATGAATAAACATTGATTGAGTTAGTCTAAGAGTCAGTAAGAATAATGAAATTACAGTATGAGTGATTGAGAAAGAGCATAATTTACTGAATTGCACACATATAGCCGTGAGATTTGAGCCTAAACATAAAATTTCTTTTCAGTGTGCATTTCACTATTGAAAATATTACCAGAACTTGCTTTGTTTCTCCTTAAAATGATTGTTTACATACATGTTTGAAATGATTGTGGCATTTTATTGTTTTAGCTAGTTAGCCAAAAAGCCGACCATTATGATATTCTTTGTTTAGCCCCTTGAGCCTAAGCATTTTCTGTTATTAATACATGTTGTCTTAATTAGCCACTCCACAAATACATCTACCTTAAATAAGATTGGATTATAGAAATTTCATGGTAGGGTGTAAACATGAGTACTTTATCATGTAATTAAAAAAATGGGTAACACTAACTCCTCTTCTCGCTGAAGCGTGCAAGTGAGAGAGCAAAACAATACAGCTCGCTACACTCCTCGCTTGGGCGAGTGAGTAAGCGAATAAGAAGGAAATGCTCGCTGAGCAGCTCGCTTTAGCGAGCTCCTCAGCGAGCGGGTTCAGACTCAGAAGCCCACAATTTCTCTTTAAATATAACGCAAGCAAAGCCGTGAAGATCATTCTGGAACGCAGAGAAAAAAAGGAACTCAGAGACGAAAGCATTGGCGGAAGAGGAACACTGGCAGGGGAAGCAACCAGAATCATTCTGCATCATTTATCGTCTTCATTATCAAGTTTCATCATTAACTTTATTTATATTCCATTATCTTTTAATTCTGTTTTTATAATTATGCATAGCTAAACTCCTGTTAGTAGTTAGGGCGAGACGGAACCAATGGGTTCATGAACGCTGTTTGCTTTTATTATGATTTATATTCTTGATTTAAGTTATGCAATCAATCTGTAATTTATTCCTAGTCTTATTTATGATCCGACCAGTCTTGAATGAGCATTAGAGTCGTGCATGACAATAGGGATGTTGGTGTATCCATTACGATTGGTTGATTGCTGGAATTTGTATGATATAGGGATAGACTTATAAATTCTATAACCTTAGGTTCTTGCGTTAATGCTTATTTTATGAAAAAGTACTAAGGGATTAGGCTTTGGATTAGAATAAAGGATTTGATTACCAAGGGATTGAAATTTAATCAATAATAGAAAGAGCTATTAATAACTTGATCCTGAATATAATCATAAGAATAAGTAGATTCGTTAGAAAACCATTGGAAAAGTCGAGTCCTAGCTACGTCGTTTTATTGAAAACTTAAATGAATTTCTAGCTTTGTTAATTCTGAATTTAATTTCTTAAATATTGAAAACTAAAAATAAGTAGTTTAAAATTCTGTTTTAATTAAATTAAAATATTCTCAAACCAACAATTCACGATCGATCCAACTTTAGTTAAATAGATAAATTAGTGCTTGGTCATCAGTTCTCGTGGGATCGACAACTTTTCTTATCACTTTATTACTTGTACGACCGGTGCACTTGTCGAGTTTGCAACAGTGATCAATCAACCTCTATGCACATAAGAGTCTATTGGACTTAAAGAATTGACAATGCACACAACACCTACCTATTTTAAGAAATTTTATAATATTTATTATAAGATTATTAAAAGAACAGGGGCGACAAGATTCAAATTCTAGATCACTTAATTATAGAAACTCTCATGCCTTATCCTGCCATCAACTATATAATATATTATACTTTCATCAGCTAAGGTATAAAGTTTCGAGAGATATATGTATTTCACTTGTTTCCTAACTTAACCTCACCGGTCGATTTCTCACCAGATGATTTGGCTTTATTTTGACTGTGAAAAAGGGTTTTGCTAAGACAGATTTATTAGCTTCTGTAAGATCTCCATTTGTTTCCTTCCCACACTCAGTTTAAGGATTCACTGATCTCTACAATTTTTACTTTCTACATATCCGCTTGTGCCAGTTTTCAATTTTTTACGTGGTTGACAACAAAGACATTGGTGATTTCTGTCTAGTCTTATGGTATGATTGTAGCTCATCAAAAATTTTGACTGACTCATCACTTATCTGGTCAAGGCTGTTCTGTTCAGTGGAATCACCCATATCTTGTGAAAAATATAACAACATAGTTATTTTATGAAAGGTACTCAAGTATGTAATTTAAGTCTCGATTTGTTATGCTAACTTAGATAAAGGAGACCAAATGGTGGTAGCAGTTGGTAGCAAAGGAGAAAAGTAAGTGAAAAGAAAAGAATTTCGGTTCAATCACCACATGCTAGTTTTTTTAAGGGGTTTAAATATCTTTATCCCTGACTCGTCCCGCATTCTGGATTAGTTCTATAGCTACTTGTTGCCTTGCTAACAGTTGTGCAAGTAATGCGCGCAAGTATACGCGACAACAAGTAATATAGGGCTGTTATAAGTCCCAGTTATCGTTCCCACAAGGATCGTTGGCGTTTTGAAATGACTAAAATTTGTAATTGCTTAAAATTGAGTTACTATTTGAAAATAAAAGAAATAAAATTGTAAAGTAAAAATAATTTAGAATGGACCTAAAACACTACTGTTCCCTTTTCTTTTAAAATTTTCTGAATTACTTTCCTAAGTTATAAAATAAGAATGAAGAATTAAGCAACTTAAATGACAGATGTGACAAAAATTTTGAAAACAGAATACAGATTGAACTATGAAACAGCAAAGGAAATTGGAAAATCTGAATTGATAAAGAGGTTTAAAAAGGTGGGTTGAGTTCTGGTTCTCCTTCCCCACAGTGCTTGAAAAATAATTTGATTAACAAAAAGCTCATTCTAAGATTCTCAGTTAACAGGGCTGTATTGTTAATTTTTAATCTCTTAAAAATTATTTTATCCCAAAGTTGCCCACTTCCATATCTCTATGCCAAGTGGGATTAGGACTCTTGAGATTCAGGTCCAATATTACATGAGGACTCATTCATTTCTGAATTGAGATCCCTTAGATGATTTCTCATCTAAGTCCATGTGTCTAATGCAGAATCCAGAATTAATTGTTTCTCAACAACTAAATCCTAACCAAACATCTGACATTTGGCCAAAATGCAGATAATTTTAAACATTAGAAACAACATTAACAACTGAGATATAACAATTAAAACCAGAAAATCAAAGATCTAACAAGCACTGAGGTTTGGGTATCACCAAAACCCAACCTCTAAAAAGTTAGCCACTATCCATATGGGTGAGGCTTACACACAGTAACAGAAATAAAGAAATTACAAACAAGAAATGCTAGAAAATAATTTACAGCACTAGCCTAACAACCAGCAATTTCAGTGCTGTAAATGCATGTATCGAGTTCATCAGATGAACCAGAATCTCATTACAAAATAAAAATTAAAAGAAAATAAAAATGGTGCAGAAAGCAAGAACTGAAAAAACGA